CAGCAAACACCACCCTTCGACCAGGTGCGTGGAATGCGACTTATTTATGTTCGACGACAGGTACATTAACCAGCACGTGACACATCTGTGCCCAGCACTTGGACGTAGTCGGCCGATGGTGATCGAGTGCACGGCATGCGGCGGCTGCTTCAACGGGTACGACGCGCTTCACAATCACCTCAGCGGCGGAGTGGACGACGGCACATGTGCATATTTTTCTCTCTCTCTTTCTCTCTCTCTCTCTCTCTCTCTCTCTCTTTCTTTCTTTTCTTTCTCTCTCTTTCTCTTTCTCTTTCTCTTTCTCTCTCTCTCTCTTTCTCTCTCTCTTTCTCTCTCGCTCTCTCTCTCTCTCTCTCTCTCTCTCTCTCTCTCTCTCTCTCTCTCTCTTTCTTTTCTTTCTCTCTCTCTTTCTCTCTCTTTCTCTTTCTCTCTTTCTCTCTCTCTCTTTCTCTCTCCCTCTCTTTCTCTCTCTCTCTCTTTCTCTCTCTCTCTCTCTTTCTCTCTCTCTCTCTCTCTTTCTCTCTCTCTCTCTCTCTCTCTCTCTCTCTCTCTCTCTCTCTCTCTCTCTCTCTCTCTCTCTCTCTCTCTCTCTCTCTCTCTCTCTTTCTCTCTCTCTCTCTCTCTCTCTCTCTCTCTCTCTCTCTCTTTCTCTCTCTCTCTTTCTCTCTCTCTCTCTTTCTTTTCTTTCTCTTTCTCTTTCTCTCTCTCTCTTTCCCCCCCCCCCTCTCTCTCCCTGAACGTTGCTGCATGTATATTTATAATGTAGCTTTGACTTCCAAATCTAGCCTTGTCTTGATTGTGTGTGTGTGCATGTGTGTATTGGGATGAGTGCAATGCTATCCGGTCCTATTTTCTACCCAGGGTGTGCTTCACACTGATTGGGGCAGTGTCCCGTACTTCTTGTATGAGTAGGCTAACAGTAACACATGATAGTGACATAGAAGTTTGCAGCACATTGCACCGAAACGAGCACGGGACGAATCCCAACAGGAGCAGCCAATGAATGACCAAGACATTAGTGTCCACTCGTATAAACGAGGCTCTTTGCAGAGCTCTTACGAGTCCTCGAACCAAGATAACGGACGAGCACTACCCTCGTCTTGTGAGTTCGGTAGGTCTTTCATGCCACACATGACTAACCAATGGGTGAAAGAGATCGAATAACATCTGTGCATATCTCAGAAGTGACCTTACACAAGACCTTATGGCTTATACTGTGTATAGCCAGACAAATTCGGTGGAAATATATTTTCGGTAATAACAGGACTTTTTCACTTTTTCACCTAAAACAAAATGTAACCTAAAATTCAACCGTGCCATGTCACAAAGTGTACAAAATGCATTTTTGGATGTGGAAAACTGGTTTACCGAAATTTTCGCATTACTGAACCGTTGATTTAGGGAAAAACCGAAATAATTACACCAAAAATTCTCGGTTCATCACCGAAAATTCCCGGTTTACCACCGAAAATTCCCCTTTTCACAGTACAGTCGTCCCTCTCTAATCCGGCACTTGTTTATCCAGCACCCTTGCAAACCAGCACACTTTCTGGCGAAACGTATTTTTCACCTCATTTTCTACGCTTTAATCCGGCACTTGAATTCCGCCTCCAGCAGCAATTTTCTGCAACAAATCACTCAAACTGTACAAAATTCAATTTTCTAATCCAGCAGTTGTACATCGCATACCGTAAGGGAGCATTGTAACATACACAACACATACATACATACATACATACACAACACATACACAACACATATTACATACACATACACTTGGGAATATTCCCAAGTGTATGTTATAGACATGCATTCCACAAAGTACTTGGATTGACACAGAAAATCCCTACGTTTTGCCGTACGACACAAATATGTATGTTAACATAGGCGGGCCGGGTTGAGGGCAGGATTTGATAATCCAGCCCCTTGTTTATCCAGCAGAAAATGCCGTTGCAAAAGGTGCCGGATTAGAGAGGGACGACTGTAACACATGTAGTTATCACTGGTTTTACCGTCCTATTAAACACTGCTATTTTTACAAGTTTTAAACCAATATTAATTACCGTATTTCCCCGATTATAAGTCGCACTCGACTATAAGTTGCACCCCCAGTTTCACGTTTCAGCAATATTGTTTCGACATGATCACTTCAGTAGTAAGTCGTGCTCGATTGTAAGTCGCACCCCCTTTCTCACCCTTGAATCTTTGTGTAAAAAGGTGCAACTTGTATTCGGGGAAATACGGAATGCATACGGGTGGAAAAGCAAGAGAGAAACAGTGGGTCACAAGTTATTACTAACCGCCCACTGAGCCTAATAATGCCGTAAATTCTCTTTAAAATTCACTCAGCCGGTATTCGTTGTGAAGCGGCTTCTTGCCGAGTTATTCAGCTGAAGTAGTGAGTGAGGTTTCGTGGCCAGTTGTGGGAATATTGAAGTAGCACACAGTACAGTACTGGATAACAACTGCACAGTGAACTGCACAGTGAACTGCACAGTGAACTGCACAGTGAACTGCACAGTGAACTGCACAGTGAACTGCACAGTGAACTGCACAGTGAACTGCACAGTGAACTGCACAGTGAACTGCACAGTGAACTGCACAGTGAACTGCACAGTGAACTGCACAGTGAACTGCACAGTGAACTGCACAGTGAACTGCACAGTGAACTGCACAGTGAACTGCACAGTGAACTGCACAGTGAACTGCACAGTGAACTGCACAGTGAACTGCACAGTGAACTGCACAGTGAACTGCACAGTGAACTGCACAGTGAACTGCACAGTGAACTGCACAGTGAACTGCACAGTGAACTGCACAGTGAACTGCACAGTGAACTGCACAGTAAATGAACACTGAAGAGGTGGGATCATCGGAACTTGAATTCCGTCTCAAGATGAGGGATTGGGGGGTAAAATAGGTAAAACAGCCGGAGTGACAGGTAAGAACTCCCGCAACCCCCCCCCCCCACCCCCCACATACACATATGTGCACATACACACACGCACAAAAATTGAGACCAACTCATTCTTTCAGGTCTTATCACCCGTTTGTTCAATTTTCTCCGCCATTCTTCACTCTGTGGCTGTTAGTATAATATTCGGCAGCCCTCGGTGCCTGGTTGATAATGATGTAAAGTTAACTGATTACAAACATAAAATATACCAGTACACTCTTCTCATGATAGACCCGGCCAGGGCCAGATCCAGGGCTGTGGGAGGGGTGCTGAAAACACGACGGCAAAATTTCTTTTAACAGATTGATCATAGTTACACCGTGACATACCATTGTGGCAAACCCTGAGGGGTGTGTGAGCATCTATTGTACCCCCCCCCCCCTGGATCTGCCCCTGCCCGTTCACCGGCTCACATTGCCGGCATTTCCATAATGCCCTGCGAGTCCGACGCCCACTCCGTGCCGGTCCTGTGCCGAACGATACTGAACAGGTGACGGTCCACCCTCGTCTCGCCGGTGGCAAAATTATAGAAAAAACGCTTTCTCTGAACGGTGTACGAGAATGGAATTGTTGCTATGACACCGATGAGAAAGAGCAGCACCAGTACGCCGATGGCGATCAGGAGCGGGATGTAACCGTCGACGACGATCTCGTCCGCCGCCTGTACTCGCACCCTGCCGTCGTTGCTACTGCTGCTGTCTAATTGGCTGGTCGTGGACAAGCCCGTCGTTGTCGAGACGATGACCCGAGCGGTGCTGCTGACCAAATTCTCTGCAAGAACACACACACAGGACGTCACGTCAGAACACAATGGAGACGCGTGTGTTACTGACAAGTTCGCAAATCAGACCCGCTTGAAAATCGTACCACTAATACACTATGCTGTGTTCGACAAGTGGTTGGAATTCTGAGGTAAGTACGCTGGGATGAGGAATGCACTGTTTTGTTTTTACAAGATGGCCACAAACCATCGTGGCGCAAATGCCGCGCCTAAAAAGCACAGGGAGGCACATAGCGATGGCAGTCGAAGCAGTGGAGGCGGGGCACGAGCAGCTAAACTGACCAAAGGGCTCGGTATCAACACTCACTGTGCGCGCCGAACAGAAAAATACTAAGTGAAAACAAAATAAACAGGAGCATTGCAGAGAAAAACTAGAGTTTAACGCCCAAAACACAGGCGTGCCCCCCAAAATTAGTTTGAGTTACCTTTGAAAATTATCATGTTCAACTGCCTTCGTAATTGTCATACTCGTCTAACCGATGTCACTCTCAACTTGCGAGTAATCAGCTTATCTCTTCCGTAGCTCCACCTCTCCTTCCATCATGACCGAACATCAACTATACTTCAATTTCTCTAAATATCCATAGCCTGCACACTCATAGCTGCTAAAAAATGATGTATTGGGTTTTGGTGTCGTCTACAGTGTCGTCTACAGTCAAACCTCGTTAGGAAGAACACTGAAAAGTGTACTTTGAAAAGATCGCTTTAGAAGAAAAAAAATTGATTACTCTATTGGATAAATCAGTGTGTTGTCGCTGGGAGAACTCCCGGTCTTGTGAACAAAAAGTTCAAGTCGATCCCTTGGTGTTCGTCCTAAAGAGCTTCGGCGGTAGATTCACTGGACGCCACGCGTCGGTATGTCAAACTCTCGGCCATAACAGACGTCATGCAGCGCTGGGTCTGCTGGGCCTGGTATACCAGTACTCAGGAGGTGTAGACTCTATGGAGTATGGGTGTGAGTGTGAGTCAACTACAGAATCTTCACGATACAGTCGTCCCTCTCTAATCCGGCACTTTATAATCCAGCACCCTCGATAAACCAGCACAATTTTCAGTAGCCAAAATGTCCTCTTCATGCACATTGCAGCAGTAAATCAGATTTGTTAATCCAGCACCCTCCCTAATCCAGCAGATTTTCGTGGCACAAATGGAGGGACCACTGTACTAATTATCGCACTCCGCGAACCGCCAACCGGCTTCCCTTTCACACGTGCAAATGACTATGACTGATTGTAAAGGAGTACAAGATTTGATGCGCTGTATAACCGGCTTCGTCGTCGACTAGTTTTCAACTCAAGAACGGACACCGTCAAACAGAGAGGTCTGTTCCGCTTCCCAAACCGTCTTGTCCTCCGGCAGCAACAGCAAACAGCAGCAGCCCAGCGCAAGGCCAAGAGGCAAGAGCATTGTCATGGGTACACAACATTTTCGTCCGCACTGCTCTCCGTCAGACCCTAGCCTTGTGCCCCTCATTCGGCATCGACCAGGCCGGAAAGGACGCGCGCAGTCTACCTATCGCTCACCGCGCATCCAAACACTGGGCGAATGCAGCAACTAATACTTGCACCTGCGGCTCCGTTCGCGCTCCTTGCAATGCAAGGTAAGTGATGGACATTGTGCATGTACAGTATGTATGCAGCGGTGACTAGAACTTAGCGGGTGTTCAGCACACTTGACTTCTAGAGTTTCGTTTTCTGAAGAGGTGGCTTATTTGTATTCGATATTTCTGAAGACTGTATTATTGTACCACAAGGAGCGTAACGATTCCACAAAAGGCGATCGTTCAAACCAGGTAACAACAAAGAGCTAACTAAACTCAAAACCAAAACCAAAACAACAACTGCACCAGCAAGCTCTTTCCTTGCACTAACTACAAATACATCAAAAACCAAGCAGCAAAATGCAAATCCGCACGCATGTTTGCCGGAACTGAACCTCCGTAGCGCAGCTGATCATCTTCCCGCCACAGTGTCAGTAGGGCAAAGAACTATGCATGGAACTAGCAATGAATGTATGCAGCACACCAGCAAGCTGTCCCTACGCAGACGTCTAGTCTAGCGTGAGCAAGGATGAAATTGAATAGCATGAGAAACATGATAAGACACATTGACTCCTAGGATGCATGCAATGTGTACAACATTATTCACTACGAGTTACGGAATCACCTGGTTACAGAGACCACACTTCGAAGGTCCCTTGAGCGGTCGTCTTACACAGGTTTCACTGTATGCATACAGTCAGTCAGCTTGGCTAATAACGACTGCGGATATAACGACAATTCGCGAATAACGACAGAATTTCCATGCCCAGAGCAAAGTCACTGTAATACATAAAATGAGACTTCGGGTATAACGACACTTTGCGAATAACGACACCGTGTTGATGCCCCGTAGAGTGTCGTTATAAGCGAAGTTGACTGTATGCGCCGATGACCTTCACCTTCGACGCCCATCACTGGGGGCGATGATAGCGATAGCGGAAGCCATAGCAACTTGTGCTGGAGTTGCACCATTCAACAGCTTGCAAGGCAGAAGAATTCACTGCCACAATTCAGCATGGTCTACGCCACAAAGCTATAGAAGTGACTTGACTTGCAGTGCAGTTCGAAAAGTCGGCGAGCGCCTAGCGTGCCTGTCGGTGCAGATCAGCCCTTTCCCAAAGATGCTCGCCACTTTTTTTCGCAACTTCTCGTTGTTTAGGAAGAAATCGCAACCTTCGCAACTTTCTTCATTTTTTTTCTGTTTCTGGCTAGTACCAGTTCTATCGCACTTATCAATCATCCTTATTGGCGTCACGCCATCGTGGAATAAAGGAATAAAGACTATAATTTTAAAGATAAAGATTTTCGCGAACTATTTCGCGACTTTTCCGCAACCTTAGCGCACGGGGTCAAAAGGTCAAGTTACACACTCACCGACTACATGTCGGACAAATGCCAACTCGTACTCGCTCATTTCTCGCCTGCCTTCAGACTGATTTCAGAGAAACAATAGATCAACGGTAGTTGTGATAATGTGCACTGAAGTAATAGTTCCCTTTTCCTTGCACTGGAATGATGTACATATACATGTACATGTAGGATACATGCAACAGGCTACTGGCACTGTGTAAAGTGGTGGTTCGCAGCAGGAAGGGGTGTAGATCTATGAGTTTGCTGTCGATGCACTTCTGCTATTTCTGCTCCCTTTTTCGTAGGTTTTGCACAAGAACTCTACGATTCTGTGCCCAGCACTTGGACGTAGTCGGCCGATGGTGATCGAGTGCACGGCATAAGGCGGCTGCTTCAATGGGTACGGCGCACTTCAGAATCACGTCAGCGGCGGAGTGGACGACGGCACCTACAGCTGTCCGATGTAGCACGCCAAATTCTATGTTTGTCGTCAGCCGCAGTGCAATTTCACGGCCTCTCACAATGAGAACTTTACAATTATTAATATTATTATATAATATTAACCAGCACGTGACGCATCTGTGCCCAGCACTTGGACGTAGTCGGCCGATGGTGATCGAGTGCAAGGCATGCGACCTCTTTATGTACAGTACCAGGTACATTAACCAGCACGTGACGCATCTGTGCCCAGCACTTGGACGTAGTCGGCCGATGGTGATCCGAGTGCACGGCATGCGACCTCTTCATGTACAGTGCTAGGTACATTAACCAGCACGTGACGCATCTGTGCCCAGCACTTGGACGTAGTCGGTCGATGGTGATCGAGTGCAAGGCATGCGACCTCTTTATGTACAGTACCAGGTACATTAACCA